TCACCAAGCACAATCAATATTCACGAAGGAAGCAAAAGAAAACAGAAAGCAGAGCCACCCCACGTACCTGAACAAGCTGGATCACTCAAAATGAAACAGAAACTGGAACCAATAACTCCTCAAAAAAACAACTGAAGGTCATTTATGATTTTATACTAGCTATTATAAATTAGGTCTACTGTTAAATCAATATTATATCACGCTTCCTCACTTTATTTGATGGTATATACTTCCCTATTTGGAAGTACATCTAGCAAAAGATGCAGCTCAGAAGATTGTTTTCCTAGCTTCTTAGAGATATAATAAGTAGTATGATGATGATTCTTATGAATCTCTGTTTCCACTTTCTGGCTAGCATGTAGTAGGCTTATTGGTTATTTTTGGTCAGCAGCTGCGTGTAGGCTCGCAAAAGTAGCTTGCTGCTCCCTGTGTGTAAAATGGAAGACAAGAGTGTGTTAGAAAATTACCTCATGAGTAAAGATGTTTTGGGACCATTTTATGTACAAAGTTTTTGAGGCATGTATGCACAAACCAAAAAGTTAGCAGGTCCTTTCCCTGTGAGATGTGAAAATTATAAAAGAGTTTGATGGTAAGTGCTATATTAGAATATATTAGGGAGTTAAGTTAGAATGCAAGAAGATAAAGTACCTGTTTTTCCACAATAGTCAGTAGTAGCTGCCAAAAAGTATTTCAATGACATTGAGGGTCATATGTACGGTTTAATTTTATAAGAACTGAATCCTTAAAACCTCATCAAATGCATTACCAAGTACTGTGCAAAAGCAGAAACTCAAATGATAGATCATTGGAGCCTCCCCTCTAATACAGGAAATGGAAGAGAAAGGCGTGTTGCATTATTTGAAGAGGGCCCATTTCAGTCTCTGATTCCAAAGCTAGCAAGAACACATTTATGGAAGTAAGAATTTTTCCCCTGAATGTATATAAACTCAATTGTGATGGTACATTCATTGTCTTGTTCATGAGAACTTGTAGCTAAACATTAAATCAAGAGAAACAGCTACGCGGCGTTTTTGTCCTTAGCGAAGGAAGGATTTTGTTGTTCTAACAAGTATAAAATTGCAAATGTTGAACTGAAAAGTAGAAGGCAGAAATGTAAAGATGTTGTTAAAGAGAGGAAGAAGTTATAAATGAATGACCTTCAGTTGTTTGAGGAGTTGTTGGTTCCAGTTTCTGTTTCATTTTGAGTGATCCAGCTTGTTCAGGTACTTGGGGTGGCTCTGCTTTCTGTTTTCTTTTGCTTCCTTCGTGAATATTGATTGTGCTTGGTGACGGAAGAGAATCTGCAAAACTTTCCTTTTCGACACAGGAGTGGATGTATAATTTCACTGATGTTGTATGTGAAGTACGGGCAAATGCTTTCTTTGCTCGAACATGGAAGAGTTTGTTGGTAATGTTAGCTTGAACATCCTCCATAGGTGAATAGTTACGCTAAGAGGGACAGTAATTTATATTTGTTAAGTGAGAATTATGCATATTATGATTTGATTAGAAGTAGCACCGGATCAGAAACTCTTTTGTAAATTTCTTCTGCAGTAAGGGACAACAATTTTTCTCCTTCTTTATCCATAATTATTCCAATTGTTGAGCCTGAGTTATCTTTGAGATCCACATCAAACCTGCACTTATAGTATTATATATGTAAAACATAGTGATTTGATTTTTTTGAATAAGAAGAATGTGAAACAATATATGGGCAGATACATATTATAAAGTACCTGGGTTCTAACAGATTTTTCTGGTCGCAGTTCATACGATGAATTTATGTTATGGTTGGATAGCGTACGTCTTGTCCGCAGTTTGAACAGACTAACATATAGAATTTCTTAAGGTCAATGGGAAAGGTTATTTTTGCCTCAATTGTAAATGTCTGGCCCTGTGTTAGGAGAAAGATAAGGATGAGAATTATTATAGTAGATTTGGAGTTGAAGTAAAGGGGAAATGGCGTGCTGACATCTTGTTGTGAGTCAATGTTTGCAATAGGTACCACTTGTTCAATCTTCATCCTTTGGAACAGAGATAAGAAATCATGTACTCAATTGCATTCTTATTTAATGGGCGCGCAGGCTTAGGGCACGGCAAACTTCTGATGAGGTATTATTGAAACACTTCACACCACTTGTATTATCTCACATTCTTTTCTTCAATAGCTGGAGATGGAGGAGGGTGATGAAATCGATGCAATGCTACATCAAACTGGATGCTGCACTTGTTTCTCTAATTTTTAACTTGGTTTATGTTAGTAGATTGTTTAGGGTGATACTTTCAACTCCCTCATCTGCTCTAATTTATGAATGTTTAGTTTTCACAGTATTAGATGTCATTTATCAAAGTTTACTCTGAATTGTGTCTTGCACCTCACTTTGCCTAATAACATTTCATGCAGCTCATAATAATATTATTGTACATCAAATTGTGCAAATGCTCAAAAATACGTTCTGACTGCGATACCGTATGGTTGATTGGATATGCTTGGAAACCCAAGAATCAACACAAACAGAGTCAAGCGACTACTGAAGCAGAAACCTAGGCAAACCATCGTCAGACGCCTAAAGTTCAGAGAAAAGACACATGTCAAAACGGACAAATAATTTAAATTTTATTAATTACCCCAAAAATAAAAATAAAATTCACAAATTTTAAAGGTAATTTGAAATATGAGTTATTAAAAATTTAGTAGTTTGAATTTGGAAATATTTTATAGTTGATTAGTTATTATGTTATTTTACTTAATATTAGTTTTTATGTAGTATTTTAAAAATTTTAGTAGTTTGAATTTGTCATATAGTATTGTTTTACAATTTTAGAAAGATAGATTTCTTTGTTGTTTATTGCGCCTTCTAACATTTGTATTAATATATATTTGGTTCAATTTTTAAGTTTTAATTTACTTTTACGTAATTTTTATTGCATAATATATATGCAACCATTTCTTCAAGATTTCATCTTCATATCAAACTTTTCTTCCTATCTTCTTTTTATTGGAGTATTATTTTTCTTCTATAAATTAAAGGCATCACTATCTCTCTTTTCAATTGTTTTGTTTGTCTACTCCATTTTCGTACTTATTCAAGTATTAAGGTATTATTAAATTTTTTTGTTCATTTATTTTTATTTCAATACTTTTTCTTGGTCACAAACTTTGATTTTTTTTATAAAATATAATTATAAAAAATTGTAAAACAATTTGAACAATTAAGGCAGAACGTCTACATTCTTTTATATTTTTTTAATGAAAAATAAATGTGGTTCATTCGTAATTGGGTGAACTGCAATTTCTTTTTATAAAAAAATAGTATTTGTCGAACTCTTTTGAGTATGCTTCAAATATGAATTTTAACATTCTCAATTATATTTCTAGTTTATAATATTTCTTAACTATTAAAAAGTTATTCATATTTAATATTTAATTTTCAAATATGATTTTTTTTACAGAGACGTATATTTTGGTCCAAAAATTTATGATGTGTTGACACTTCAAGCAAATCATCGTTCTCGGGCTATTTGGGATGACCAATTAAATGGATAAGTAGAATGTTTAAAAAATTGTCCTGCTGATGCTGAATTTTAAAATCATATCAATAAATATCCTTTACATCCTCGTATTCTTAATTACTTCAATTTGTGTGGGTTTAGAGGGGTGTTAGCAGTTAAATATCAAATGTGATCGAGGGCTTATTATTGCACCTGTTGAGCATTGACGTCCAAAAACAAATATTTTTACATGCGTATGGGCAAGTGTATCATCACATGGCAGGATGTGGAGATATCGGTTGGCTTGACTGTTGGAACATTTCAAAAATCGAAATATAAAGTAGAGAAAATAAAAGATGAATGAGAAATTATGAAGTGAATAATCCATATTTATTGTTGAAGAAAGAGATATAGCTTCACATAAGAAGTTGATAAAAAGAATTGTAGTTTGTTCATTTTTGAAAAAACTACCTTTTAAAATTATTTTAGGAGTTGAATTTATTTGTCACAGTTTGTCCACAAATATGCAAAATATCCATTTTGATCTATAGTATTCAAAAAATGTCTATTTTGGGACCGCACTCCCAAAGCTGGCACCATATTTCATTTTGACATCTTAATAAAACTTTGTTCATTTTAAGGACCCAATGCAGGATTTTTCTATATCATTTAGACATTTTTTTACGATCAACAAAATATAATGTATGTGTGTTACACACTCACGTATATTGTCAAATTAAATAAGGACATTTTGAGTTAAAAGAAAAGTAAAAACTATTTTAACAAGTCTATTTTTGGGTTTATTTTGTGAGAGGCTTTTCAAATTTTCATCTCAAATATTTCAATTCAAACGGCGGTGATGTTTTCTCTAAAGATTTTGAGGCATTACTTATATGGTGTTCATGTAGATATGTTTATCGATTCCAAGTTTGAAATATGTGTTCACTCAAAAGGATTTAAATCTTTGCCAAACAAGATGGATTGAGTTATTGAAAGATTACGACATGAGTGTCCACTATCATCCTGATAAAGCGAATGTCATGGCGGATGCTCTTGGTCAACTATATATGAGAAGTGTTGTTCATGTTGATGATGATAAAAAGGAGTTAGTCTGTGATGACCATAGGTTGACCCGATTGGGTGTTCGCTTGATTGATTCTAATAAGGATGGTGTGATTGTTCATAACGGATCAGAATTGTCTTTTGTATGGAATGTCAGGGCTAAGCAAGATCTTGATTCGGGACTAGTTGCCTTGAAGAAGTCAATTTTCGAAAAAGTCATTGAGGCTTTCTCCTATGGGAGAGATGGTGTCCTTCGATTTCAAGGTCGATTATGTGTTTTGAATGTTTATGAGTTGAGGAATCAGTGAAGTTCTTAATGAGGTCCTTTACTTGAAGTTTTGACTGAAGTCAAATATTTATACTTCAGAAGCTCCCAAACACGAAAAATTGCATAAAACCAAACAAATGAATAGGTGACCCAGCAAGTCATAAATAACTTAGGGTCCTCACAACTTACGGAAAATCTCTAAACGCTGAAAGTACGTAAAAATGAAGAAAATGACTCGAAAGGTCATTACACATTTCTGAACAATTTAGTTGAGAATTCTTGAATACTTCTGGAGATTTCAAATTCTAGAAGCAATCTAGTGAAGTTGATGGTGGTTTCTTTGATCAGTTTTCTTATCATGGATTGTTTTCTTTCACCCAATGTTTTTTTTATATTGATGCATATATTTATTTTTTTCTCCATTTGATGCTTGATAGAAATAGGAGTGGATACAAAATTTTAAGTTTTATGAAATAGCTTTTTAAAAATTATTTAGTATTGAACTCATCATTTATTTAATACTCCTTATGGAATCATATATTATTTAATACTCATCATATATTATTTGGTTAATTTTTACATATTAATTTTATCATTTGTCACAAAAATATTGGATTCAAATAAATTCAATATCAAAAGACTATATTCACATCTGGGTACTGCATTGGTAGAATGACTAAGAGGTTACTATAATGAAGGTTTAAATAGGTTCAGCTATAACTTATACTTACAAGTATGTTTAATATTTTAACTCTTTTAAACATTATCCTTATTCATTGTAAATGATTCAAATCAATTAATTGTGAAAATACTAACTCAGGACAATACTAATTCTTCACTTGTCTAGTTATGTTATTTTTATTGGTGTAATAATCAATAGATGTGTCTAAATAAACTTTAATTATTTTTTTTACTTAAAAAAGTATGTTTTGTCAAGCTTAGCCAAATGGAGATGAGTTATAGTAGTGGTGGAGCCAAAATTTTAATAAGATTCAAAATCTAAAAATAGACACACGAAGTAGTCGAAGGGGGTTTGACATCTATTATATATATCTAAAAAATTATTTTAACCATATATAAATAACATAATTTTTCGCCAAAGGGGATTCGGATGAACCTCATAACTCTAAGGTGGCTCCACCACTGATTATAAGTCATGGAAGGTTGATGTAATGAAGTGGGACCCATATAGTGCATTTGTCATCATCAATTCATAGAACCCTCGCACAATGCATGCACTTTGTACAATTTTGAAACTTTGTTGATTTGAGAAAGTCATAAGATTGACCAGCCTGTTGATCACCGTCAAGTTGTTAATTAAAATACTATCAACTGTACTTGTTTTGAAAAAGAGCTGTCCATGCCCTTTGTACAATTATGACAAATTGTCTTAACTCATTTCACAATCTGAGGAGTGAGGACAATATAGATTATGAAGAATTATTAGACTGAGAAAGCACTTGTATATTTGACAAATTCACTTTAAGTTGTTTGGTTGTACAACTGGAAGCTAAAGAATTAAGTAAATAAAGCCTAGTGTCATGTCCCGCCACTGTAATTAGATTCCTGTGTAAGTTGTCGAGTACCGCACGAAATATTAGTGAGACTTTAAGTCCGTGACACTAGCCTCTACAAGCAAACAACGAATATATATATATATCCTACTCCCTCCGTCCCTATTTACTTGTCCATATTTCTTTTTTTAGTTGTCCCTATTTAGTTGTCCATTTTGACAAATCAAGAAAAGACAACAAATTTTTTCCTATTATACCCTTATTTACACTTCTTGAAAATTGTAAAAGTGTATGTTGTTTCCCTCCAATTTATTTCACTTTAATTCAAATAAGTGATTGTAATTTTGAAGTGAAAAGTTGTCATAAGGGTAAAATTGTAACTTCACTGTGCTAATCATTGTTGTCTTAATCTGTGTGTCATTTCTAAAGTGGACAACTAAAAAGGGACGGAGGGAGTATCTAGCATCCAATAGTGTGATGCTTAATTGATTTCCAGAATGTTCGCCAAGCTTGCTAGATGAACTATTAACTTCACCGAATCGGCTTCTGCTAGTAAAAAAACCAGGTTCTTTAGGTAAGGGCAATGGAACATCGCTAGACAACATCAGGACAACTGATGACATGCTAGGCCTATCTTCTGGACACTGCTGCACACACAATAGACCTACATGAACTGATCTTTGCACTTCACATAGGTTGCATAACTCCTTTAGATGTGTATTTATTACTTCCATAACCCTTCCTTCTTTGAAGTGGATCCACACCTGAACATACATTTCACATCATGCAGTTAGATGCTATAATTTTAACTAACATGATTTTTACACTATGTATAAGATGAGTTCCTACATGTCCTAGAAGATTATGGTGATGGTCTGGATGAATGAACCCTCTATTTCTCGTCCCGCTTAAAATCTCCAGAATTACAACTCCAAAGCTAAAAACATCTGATTTCACTGAGAATTTCCCTTCTTCTGCATACTCCGGAGACATGTAGCCGCTGTAGGATAATGTCAAACAAAGAAAGTAAGTATCTCTTTTTTTTTTAAAAATCACAAATAAAGAAAGTTAGCTTTGTAGTAGAGTGTAAGTAGCTCTTTGGTTTAAAGATTTTTACTATGTTCCAACCACTCTTGTTGTCATGGCTCCAGTCTCATTTCCTCCGAAACTTCTTGCCATGCCAAAGTCAGATATCTTCGGGTTCATATCAATGTCTAGCAAAACATTGCTTGGTTTAAGATCTCTGTGGATTATTCGCAATCTTGAGTCTTGATGAAGATAGAGAAGTCCTCGAGCAATTCCATTTATAATATGGAAGCACTTGGGCCAATCAAGCAGTGACCTCCTATCTGTATGTGCAAAAATCAAAAGTTCAGAGAAGTGATAACCAAATCCATCTGCAGCTGATTGAACTATTTCTACAGATAACAAAATGTATTAAGAGTTGAGAGAAGTGAGAACCAACCAAAAAGGAACCAATCCAAGCTATTATTTGGCATGTACTCATAAACCAACATCTTTTCTTCTGCTTGGATACAGCAACCAAGGAGCTTAACAAGATTCCGGTGCTGGAGTTTAGCAATGAAGATAACCTCATTCTTGAACTCATCAGTTCCCTGTGCAGAGTATCTTGAAAGTCTCTTTACTGCTATTTCTTGTCCATCTTTCAGCGCACCATACATATCCTCAGGCAATTAGCTTCTCTAGTTTTTCGATTGAAAAATTCTGAGTAAACTTTTTTAGATAGCTTGTTTGAAGTGGAATTAACTTTTAATGACATTTCTGGAGAATCGGAGACATATTTTCTAATCGGGAACTTGTTTCCTTTTAAAGGTTCCGAAAGTTTGTCAATGTTCCAGCATCTATAATATATTGAAGTTAAGCAGTTTGTTTAGAGAAAAAGAAAGAGCTGTAGTTAACATCGTTACCTTGTAAACAGGTCCAAAACCACCCTCTCCAAGCTTGTTGCTCAAAGAAAGGTTATTGGTAGCCTCCAAGATAGTGGCAAAATCAAACAATGGTAAATCTAGATCATCATTTTTGCTCTTATTAATGTACAACATTTCAGAGCTTCCTGTCAAAATAAGGACTTAATTGGATGTTAAGAGGAATTTCCAAGATTTACCATCAATTCAGGCCACTTATTTCAAATTTCAAAGTAGCAAAACATCCGGTTTACCTTCACTAAAACGTTGTTGATTCTGATTCTCCTCCTCTTTCTTCTTCTTGTTCTTCGTATGCCTAATGTACAAGATCAAGCATAGCACTGAGAGAAGACTTAATGCTGCCAATGGCAAGCTGATTCTCAATTTCTTTAATATCTCTTTACTGGAGTTTCCTGATGATTCATATAAACTCATCTTAGTCTTATCAAATTTTTAATAGACAGTTCAATTTGGTCTAGAAAACTCAAGACTAACGTAAAGAAGCATACCAACCTGTACTTATCTCTGTCTCAGAGGAGTCCAACTTTATATAGATATCTTGCCCACTAGAACCAAACTCTCTGATGTCCATCAGCTCATCAAACCAAAGCAAACAATCTTCATTTGTCCCTGTTGTGTCTAGTTTTGCATAGGCCACACATGAACAGTTTCTCAAGCACAATTCCTCACATGAATTAAGAGTTACTCCTCGATCGTACCAGGAAAATCGAGTGTCTGGCAACTTGATCCCTGAATACTTTAAGAATTTAACTTCCTTTTGGCAATTCAATATTGGTGTCTTTCTAACACAGCCACCTGACCAATTTCCCTTTGCCCATTCTGTTGGATCTTTGGGTTCAAATTTATCCAAACAACTGCAGATTGGAGAGTTTCCACTGTTGCACAAACCATATGCGTTACACTGGGCATAAATGTCACAGTTGTCTGCTGGTGCGCTACCAAAGTTATCCCAATTCTGAGTTAGATTATTCCATGTCGAAAGCTCTAGAAGCCCATTTAGTTGCATCACTACCCTTGCAATAGCAGAAGTGTCAATGAGCTCATAAGTAAAGTATACTTGATCTGGATCGGATGCAAATATGTATTTATAAGGACTTGGTAGTAGAGATGGTGAATTAGCAAAGCTTTGACCATTCCGTGCTCCACCCCTGAAGCGTTGGATGGAACCGTTCATGAGAAATGGCTGTGGGAATCCATTAGGATCAAATATGAAACTATATTGACCATTAGAAGGGTCATTTCTGCTCTTCCATGACCAGAGGAAACGACGAAAACCAGTCTTAAGATCGATCCCAATCTTAACTCCAGGCAAAGCTGTGTCACCAGGATAGTCAAAACTCTGCCATACATAATTCGAATTCTCAGTTCTAACAACAAGATTGCCTGAATCTAGAAGCTGTGCTATTGGATTTTGCACGCCTCCTCTTGTGGTATTGGAAGACCAAACCACACTGCCAGAACCATTTACAAGAGTAAGATTTCCTTGTGTTGTAAAATTGAGCATACCATTTTTATCATTCAGTGGAGTGTCTCTATTAGCAACCCATACCACTGTCTGTACAGATACTTTGTTGAACCATATTCCCAGGTATCGTTTACTCGATGTTGGAGTTGGGGAGAAAAATCCCAACTCAAAATTTCCACCTGACGAAACAATCGTTTTTCCATCTATTAAAGGTTCATCTCTAGGTATATTATCTGCAGCACTAGTAAGAATCAAAACACAAAACATGTAACATAATAATAATAACAAATGAACATGTCTGCTTTCCATCATCCTTGTTTTACTAAAGGAAATTGCAGGATTCTGCTTCAATAATAGGCAGGGATTATTGATGAAATAGCTGATATATAATAATAATAATAATATACCTCCTTTCTTCGAGTCAAAATATTTAAATTTGATTGAAAATTTATTCATCAAATTTTTAAATTTTTTAATATAATTTTTAAACTATAAATAATTAACAATTTAATTTACTTAAAAAATACTATATAAAAAATTTTATAATTAAAAATAGATTTGATTGAATCACGATATTTAAAATATGTCACGTAAATTAATTGATAGGGAGGGATAATAATAGTACAGATCAATAGTTGGTCAACTTCACCGAATACAATTATTTTTCTTTCGGTCAAACAGTTGAGGCGACGTCTCTGACTAACACAATTGTCTAGAAACATGGTCACTGCAGCAGCCATCAATAATTTTCTCTTTAAACAGCTTGTCAATAAAAAATAATTTAAAATTTAAAATTAGTTAAAAGGATCAAATATTTTTTTGAACTACTCAAAATGTTTATCTACCTATCATAAAAATATCAAAAAAAAATTTGGCATAACATATAAACATGACTCTTAACTTGATTCCAGCAGACAATTATGCATTTCAACTTTGAGTGTGCATAAGTAGACATTTAAACTTGTATAAAATTAAATAAGTAGACAGACTTGTCTTACATGGCATAATACACATATGACGCCACGTAGGACACAAAATTGTCATGTAGGATGCCATGTATGACGATTGTGTCTATTTATTCAATTTTATACAAGTTTAAGTGTTTACTTGTGCATATCCAAAGTTAAAGGTTATAGTTATCCTTTAACGCCAAGTTAAATGTCATGTTTATGTATTATGCCTTTTTTTTGGGTTGAAACAACATATCTGACCTTTTAAAAATATGTGTCTTCCTTGCCAAGAATAAAAAACTATTTTACCCCTAAAATATATGAAAAAAATTGAATTTGCTGTAAGTAAATATTGTATATTTGTATACCCCTAAACTATTTTTTTGTTTAAATGATATTCATGGTCTTTAATTTAGTCCATAATTTTATCATAAAAAATCAAAAATATGATTGTACAGTTATTATCATAATTTTAATAAAAGAAAATTAGTCTTTATTAATTAATCACTTTTTTTTTATCATTCAACCAAATCTCTATAACTCTTTGCATCATACATTAAAAGGAAATGATGCAAATAATTTATAAGAAAAGACAATCATTCACCCTTGAGTAAGAAAATATAAAAAATAAGTATAAATTAAACATAAGGTGATATACCACTTGACGAATGCAAACATGAGATGCCAGTTGTCTGTTATTTTAATTAACTAGTGAAACTATCCGCGCTTCGCGCGGCTATATGAAACATTTATAAGATAATAATATGAAATATGTAATATTTAGGTTGGTATCGAATATATAGATAATATTAATATTTCTCTTCATCTGCGATATCATAGGTTTTTTCATTTTTTTTTAAACATATAAAATATAAATTTTTTTTCTATATGTATATAGTAGAACAAAATATTCACCGTGGTGAAGTAAATGGAATAAGAGATAATATGTTGAAATAACAATATATTGTATTACATTGAAAATATTTTATATGTTTTAATTTTCTCTATCTTTTGTAGGAGTACTAATTTTCTATTCAAACTCTAATTTCGTCAAAACAAAATTGATTTTTTTATTATGTCCTTATTATTATATTTGCTTATTATAATTTTTAAAACATTAATTAAATATTTATAAGATTTATGAAAAATGAAGCATACAAAAGTTATGAATAATATTTAATATTAAAAGTTACAAGTAAGATGAAGAGACATGAGTTAAAAATAATTCAAATGTATAATTTTATTAGACATTAAATGTATTACCCCCTCCGTTTCACAAAGAATGATCTCCTTTCCTTTTTAATCAGTTTAAAAAAGAATGACCTCTTTCCTTTTTTGGTAACATTTTACTTTTTGCTTTCCACGTGGCATGTTTAAGACCACAAGATTAAGGGCAATTTTGTACATTTGACATAACTTTAATTTAGGACCACAAGATACGAAAGTTTTCTTTATTTACTTAAACTCCGTATCAAGTCAAACCAGGTCATTCTTTATGAAACGGATGAAGTACTAATTATGCATTGATTTGATTTGTAAAATAAAAAAAATAAATAAGGGGTGAAAATACAAAAAATGAGCAGAAAAATATAAAAATTGGTGACTACATAAAAATTATAAATACATTGCAAAGTAAAAAGAACGGCGACGAAAACAGATTGTTACATACGCAAAAATGGCATCATGAAAATAATATTTTATTTTTCAATTACTTTTTTATAATTATAATAAAAATGAAACTCCTAATCATCATAAAATAAATTTTGTTGTTAAAATGAGATAATTATATTAATTTTGCTTCATAACAAAGAAAAAGGAGAATAATAAAGGATCAAATGATTAGCATTGACAATATAATACATTTAGCTAAATTATTTATACAAATCAAAATTTAGAAAATTCTAGCTAAAGTAACTAAGTTGCTAATACAATTCAAAGTGAAAAAATAATCTCTAATTATGCTTCATTTTTTTTCCTTCTATCATCTTCCTTTGCAAGTAGATCCGCAATCATGTTTTGATCCATATGTCAAACTCTTCATTATATGCAACCAAACATAATAAAAATAAATATCATATACCAATTAAAAATAATTATGTCAAAAGAAAGAACGAAATTTAAACTATATGTAATATATTTGTATATTATCTTTTCAATAGTATTAGCAATACTAAATAATAATTATTTCTTGAAATCTAACAAATATTATAATTAAACTATATTATATCCAGAAAACTAACTATTAGAAAGAACAATTGTATACAGATAAAACATTGTTAAGAATTACACATATTTTTTTTAATCATACTTGCTTGATGAGTGATAATACAAACATTAAAAATGTTACGACCCGATTTCGAAAACTAAGGTTTCGAAGCCATTTCACAACTTTGTGGCAATTTTGTTAAGTTATGGAAAAAATCATAATTTGGAAGTCGCCTCTTAATTTTTTAGGAAAAATTAAGAAAACCATTTAAAAAGGATAATTTTTAAAAGAAAAACATTTGAATAAACCAGAGTCAGGTAAGAGTTCAAATAATTCTCTAAGGAAGGGTTTAGGCATCTTAGAGAATCTGCTACCACGCGGTTGACCGACGGATTTAAAAATTTGGCTAATTTTTATAAAATAAAAGAATTACTTATAAAAACTTGTTTGAAACTTCAATTTAAAAAAATCTTTTGATGCTTGTGGAAATCTCAAATATAATCCTAACTTGAAACTTTTATCCATGGTCATGTTTTGAACCATACAATTAATTCAAACTCATAAACATGGATTAAAGGACTTGTTTAACAACTATGAAAGGATATTAAAGATCCATAAGTCGTTCATACAAAGTCCTAAGTTAAATTAAAAGACGATTAATTTATTTTAAGAAACTTAACAATTTTATCCTATTCAAAAAATTTGAACTAATTAAAAATTTAATTTAAACTCATAAGCATGGATTCAAAGCTTTTCAACAACTATGAAAGAACATGAAAGGTTCTTAAATTATTCTAATAAGCTTAAATTGCCTAACTTTAAATGAGTTTCGTAATTTGAAAACTTGAATAAAAATATTTCCTCAAGGATTCATCTAAATTAATAAAGGTTAGTAAGCAAATAATATAAAAGATAATAACACATCCAACATAATAAGAGTGATAAAATTTAAAAGAATTTGGACTTTTAGTCCAAAAGCAATTGACCGCTCATGCTGAGTTCAAATTGAACTTTTCAAAGTCCAACTTTCAATTTTCCAGCCCTTTAGGCTATTGATGTTGCTGTCTTCTTGGGTTTTATCCCAATAATAATAGTTTCCCGCATTCATGCCTTTTCAAGGCTGCTGGTGCTGCTAGTTTTCAGGACTTTACCCGATTTTGCTCCTCGTTTTTCTGCCTTTTAAAGGCAGCTGCTGTTGCTAGTCATTTTATCGAAATTTTAAGTCCAAAAACTCAAACTTCAGCCCTTTAGGACCATTATTATTTCTCTACTGAGTTGCTGCCTTCGGTTTGGATTTTAACTAAACAATACTATCTTCCTTTTCACGATTCCAATGGAGGTTGACTCAAGAAGAGGAATATGCAAGAGAGAGGAGTCCATTGGACTCAAGCGGGTGAGTCATGCAAAGAAAAACAAAGGATGCAAGGATAAGTAAATGAACAAATTCTTTAATAATTAAACTAAGAGATAAGGTTTAAATATATCAATTCGGCAATTTGTCCTTCACCACAATTTGAACAACAAACCCATTATTATCAAAGAGCTACTGCCTTAACATGTTGGAATTAATCATAAGGGCGTTAAAATTATAACTAAAAATAACCAAAGAGAATTAAAAAAATATAAGATGCACTTCTCATAGTGAATAAAGAAATCATAATATCCAATCACTTCATAAGAGGACCATTTAAACAACAAAGAACACTTTGATACCACATGGTAAAAACAATAAAATAGATTAAAAGTTTGGGAGACTGCCATACATTTGAGCAAAAGATCAGAAAAGATAAGGAAGGGGATAATTAAGTATTAGCCATAAAAAACTTAAGAAACTTTAGAAAGAGTTAAAGTAACCCTCTAAGATAAACAAGACTACCAAACACATACATAGCTATTTTAAGGCATTTCAGCATATAGAAAGTAAGAGGAAAACTAAAATTAAAATATGAATTCATACATTATGAGAACCGATTAGACAACAATCACATCTAACTCTCGAGTGATAAACAAATGGGTACTGGAAACAGAAGAAAAATATCTCAAGAAACTATGACAAGCTATGAACAAACAGAGAAAAGGAAATGACCTTGCTAGAAACAAAATTCTGGGAATACAAATAATTAACAGGCTGATTCAGACATTTAGGCTTCAAA